TGTAGAGATGGACCTGTTGCCCAGGCTGGTCTTGAACTCCGGTGCTCAGGCCATCTGCCCGACTGGGCCTCCCAAAGTGCTAAGATTACAGCATGAGCCATCGTGCCCCGTCAGATGATTTCTTTATAGCCAGTTTTATATGGAAAGGATGGGGAATTAGAGCAATATTTTTAGGTTTTACTGGTTTGGGGGAAAGGAGGGGCTGGTTTGTATGACTGCCTTGTGAAAAAGAGATTCTAGTTTTTATGGCTGGCCTCAGGGGAGAATGAGGGACCAGAGACAGAGGGGCAAGAGAAGGTCAGAGAGACAATTTTGCTCCTGAGGCCTAAAGTATCCAAGCTTATAACAAATGACTGTAACGAGGGTTAGGGGGGTTATAGGCCAGGAACTATGGGAAAAAAAAACAATATATATATAAGCCAGGAACTATGGGAAAAAACATATATATGTATATATCACAACCCTTATCAAATACATGATTTGCAAGTGTTTTCTCCCATTTCTGTGGGTTGTCTTTTCACTTTCTTACTCGTGTCCTTTGATGCACAAAGATTTTTCATTTTGATGAAGTTCAACTCATTTTTTTCTTTGGTTGCTTGTGCTTTTGGTGTCATAATTAGGAAACTGTTGCCTAATCTAAAGTCATAAAAATTTTCTCCTATGTTTCTTTCTAAGAGTTTATAATTTAGGCTCTAATATTTAGGTATTCGATAAATTTTTAATTTTTGTATATAGTGTGTAGTAGAGACTCAAATTCATTCTTTTGCATGTGATAGCCAATTAGCTCAGCACCATTTGTTGAGAAGATCATTTTTTCTCCGTTTAATGGTCCTTACCCCCTTGTGAGAAATTAGTTGACTACAGATGGGTTGACTTCTAGACTCTCAAGTTTATTCCATCATACTGACTTCTTATTTTAACTTAATGTCAATCACTTTTATACTATTCTATTTGGTATTTTCTCTTCAAAACTTTCAAAATTATTTATCATTTATTTAATTGATTGAAAGTGAGCCAGAGGCAAATTTGCCACCATAAAAGTTTACTAAAAATCAAGAGAAATGGCTTCATAGCACCGTTACTGCAATATTCCCATTACATACATTATTATTAGAATCATTTCCTAAGTTATAAATTTATGAAGCTTGGGGAATCCATTTCAATATATCAGAAAAGGAAATCATGTTAATAAAAATATCATTAGACACAATATAACATATAAATGAATACATGAAGTAACAATTTTTAACATTTAACTCTTTTACAAACTTTTGTACAATAAGATTAAAATAAGACAATTGTGCATACAAGTTTCCCAATGGATCTGTTCATCTTTATTGCAAGTGTTGCTAGGTCATAACTGCACGGGAATGTGGTTGTTCTGAATATATTCTCACTATCGAAGACAGTTGTTAGGGACAAATAGGCACCAATAAAGACAAATAGGGGCCCCCTATTGGCTCCTTACATTTCATTGAATAAAGCACAATTTCCCTGCAATGCTTTCCCATTCTTCTTTCCCAAATATTATTCTCTTTCTCTCTCAATCTCTCTCTCTCTTTTGAGACGGAGTCTTACCCTTGTCACCCAGGCTGGAGTGCAATGGCATGATCTTGGCTCACTGCAACCTCCGCTGCCCAGGTTCAAGCTATTCTCCTGCCTCAGCCCCCTGAGTAGATGGGATTACAAGCACCGCCACCACGCCTGGCTAATTTTTGTCTTATTGGTAGAGACGGGGTCTCGCCATGTTGGCCACGCTGGTCTCGAGCTACTGATCTCGTGATCCACCCGCCTCAGCCTCCCAAAGTGCTGGGATTACAGGCGTGAGCCACTGTGCCCAGCCCTTTCTCTCTTTTTCTTAAGAGGCAGGGTCTTGCTGTGTTGCCCAGGCTGCTCTAAGCCATCCTCCCTTCTCAGCCTCCCAAGCAGCTGGAACTATAAGTGTGTGCCACGGTTCCCAGCTTTATGATTTTGTTGTGTCACAATTCTCTTATATAATTAACATATCTTTGGGAGAAGCATCACACACATACAAAAAGTAGCCAAACTTCACCTGATTGGCATTTCTGAGATTAAAAGACCCATGAGAGACAATAGATTTTTCTCTTCCCAACATTCAAGCAACTCCCTTCTAATTGTTTGCTAATTATGATATGTGAAGTTTGTGGGTGTTTCTAAATTAGGGACTTCCTTAAAAGAGTCTGTGTTTCCAGAAGGTTTGCTACTTGAGATATCAACCCATTATTAGGATGTCTTCTTTACAGTCCTCCTGTCCATTTTAAGATCCTTTACTAAGACAGCTTGAAGGTGACCATGCATGGTCTATACCTCCATCCCCACCCAAAACAATCTTCTTTTGTACAAACATAAAAACGTGCCTCAGCTGATTAAAACATACGGCACATGCTTAGATATTAATGCTTTGGAGAGATGGTTTGGGGTCACAATCCTACAGATGCTCTCATTAGGAGGTTCTACAGATCATGGCCTGATGGAAGAGCTTGTGTTACTTGAAAGTAAACGTCAAGGGAAAAGAGTAGAAACATCGATCACTAGCACCATTGTCAACTCAAATGATTCAAGTAATAAAGGATGTTGATATAAAAACATTTGATCCTCTCACCATGCTTTTTAGGATCTACTTTCTGCTCTCCTTTTGTCTAAAAGTTATAGAAAAACATTGACACTTTGGATGCTCCCAGGCCCTGCAGTTCTGTTATTCCCAGTAGGGGACAATGTTGCATTTAAAACTGCACCAGTGGCTGCATGTCCCTGGCTGGGCCTGTGTTCCTTCTCTATTTTCAAGACATAGATCTTTTTAAAGAGTCATATATAAATATTTTTTCTCTAAACTCTAAGAAAGCGAGAGTTGAAGAAGAAAAAGACTCGAAGGATTGTTTTTTATCCACTGTCTTCAGCAGAGATACTTCATCGTGTGTGACATTCCAGGAAGTTGCTATCAAAGTCCCAAAGTACGAAACGCATCTCGTAAGTCATCAACCTCGTACAGGGGCTGTAGAGAAAGAGAGACGCAAACTGAGTCAACGCCTTCAAAATTGGGTTGGGGATTGGCGGAGCCTGGGAGGCTTCTAAACTGAGTGGATGACTTTGTAACATTTTGGAAGAAAGTAAATTGGGAAAGAGGTTTGTTTTTTTTGTTTTAAAAAATAAATAAATAGGCCGGGCGCGGTGGCTCAAGCCTGTAATCCCAGCACTTTGGGAGGCCGAGGCGGGTGGATCACGAGGTCAATAGATCGAGACCATCCTGGTCAACA